ATGCAAATCGTGGAACGTTTTTTTATAAAGATTAGTGTACCATGATTTACCTGGCACACAATCTGTCCTCAGACAAATGGGAAATATAATAATAATAATAATAATAATAATAATAATGGCTGCTCGCTGCCCTGGGGGCATTTAAACATCAGCTTTACGAGGCATGGTCGAGTATNAGGCCTAATGCGACCCTGGTACATCGTATTCGAAATTCCCTGTAGGACGTCCATTTGGTTCTATGGTTTTTTCTATTTCATGCTATTTCTCATTCCTTTATCCCCCTTTGCACTTCAAGACAGACAAAAGTAGCGGATAATACCAAGCTGCCGCAGCACAGTGAGACACCTGGTGCTTACAGTGCAAGAAACTGGACTCAATTTGATTCGACCCACAAGTCAGGTGACCTGACCTGACTTGACCATAAGCTCGTATCTACACTCTGCTCTTGCCTATTATCGATATCCAGTTTTATTATAAGGCACCCAGTTTGGGCAACCTGATGTCGGTAGTTCATGCTTTTCAACGTAGTTTATCACAGTTGCAATATGTTAACCCCTTCGATACCATTAAGCCAACTGTATCCAACCCTGTTTTAGTGAACTCGGGACTCATGAGCACCCTTTAACCTAGTAGTAAATACGTTCTACATCGCAACCGGTGCCATCCTCCAAACAATGGAAAGACCGCCTGGCGACTTTGGGTTTCTACTCGCAACGTTTTGCTGACACTTCAACTAGGCACATGTTTGGCAAAAAACTATTCGCTTCGTATCCTGCTGCCCATCACTTTTGCTTAGTGTCAGAATGCCGGACACGTTACTTACCATCACGACGAGACTGCACCTTGCTGTGGTTTGATGGCCTGTACACCTCTGTGACCCAACGAGCTACACAGGATGGCTTTTATCAAACCGTAAATCTAATCATGACTGGAAGGTCAAAGGGTAGAGGTCAAACAAGGTCCAGTCTCCTGGTTCTCCAGGTTGGTGGTTCGACTCGAGTTAGCGTCTAAGTCAGTAAAACGGTAGAGGAGTAATCGATCCAAGTAAATGGGCCTCTACTTCGCTTTACCCGCTGCCCTGCGGTCAAGTTCTTGTCAAAACTAAAGGCTTTAGACGAAAATCCTAATCGTTCTCCTGCTTAGTGCCTGGACATCCTGGCAGTACCCAATCATAAAGCTTCAATGAACACACAAGCAAAAAATAATTTCATACTGCATCGGTCGTCGCGCAGGATAATCAGGACCGCGCTGTCCATTGCATCGAGTGGGGTGGGTATTGATAAGTGGGCTACTGCTCGGATATCCCAACCTTTGTTTGACTCTTTGTATGCCGTTCCTAACCCACTCCCTACACCCCTTCTTCCAACCCATAGCATCATCCACATCGTACAGCGAAATACAGTGAAAAAACTTCACTGATCGCTGCCAAGCTCAATGTACACAAATCAAGTGATAAAGCACAAGATGGAGAGGGATGGGGCCTAATTGGAATCAAGAATCACATCGCTTAGTTCAGTTCTTACAGCCCTTAACTATGCACTTTCGTGCGCCGGTTTTGGTTGCCCATTTGGATAAAACAACAGAATGATGATTAGAATGTTGAAAGCAGACCATATCGCTGATAAATATGAAGAACAGGGGGAGGGTCTGAATACCGATCCCTGAGGACTCCACCGCATGCTTCAGCAGACCCAAATATTCCATCTCTCACATGAACTATCTTGTTACGCAGGCAGGCTCTTAACTGGTCTACCAACCATAGTGTAACTTTAAGTCATTTCAACTTGTGTAGGAGGAAGCGATGGTTAACCGAGTCGAATGCTTTCTTGAGGTCCAGGTAGCAAACCTCAACTCTCTCCTCACGGAAATCGACTAGTAACTTCTTATCTTTTTTTAACAGTTCTGAGTGAATAGTGACAGCATCAACCCTTTCCGCACATGTACCTTTCCCTACGTACGCTCGAAACCCTAGCCATCAACGCGTGTCGCATCCAAGAAACTCGCATTCAAGACTCCAGCTCCATTATCCGATTGACATCGACATCAAATCAACCTGTGAAGTTTCACTTACGCCTCTCTGGGGACCCTAAGCCTGCGGCTTCCGGTCTTGCTGGCGTCGGCGTGGCTCTCAGTGAGAGAGCTGAAGTCGCCCTTCTGGATTGGATCTCAGTAGACAATAGGTTGTGCGCAGTGAGACTCAGAGGGGGCGTACGAACCACACCCACACCTTTTCGGTTGTGGTAACGGTCACCGGCTCTATTGGGCATCGAGGTGCATTAGATAACTTGAACGTTTGACCCCGTCCGAAAGGCGTATGATCCGACAAACTGGACACCGGCTCCCAACGGATGGCGGTTTTCACACACCGCCCCGCTGCCTGGAGGGTCAGGCTTTGGTTAGCCGAAGGCTCTTGTTGTGGATTCCCAAAGAAAATTCATCTGCCTTGGTCTGGGCAACCTGGCAGTATTCAGTCCACATGCAAATCGTGGAACGTTTTTCTTTTTATAAAGAGTATTGGACCGCGATTTGTTTTGCACAGTCTGAACTCAGACGTGTGTGAAAGAAAAGAATGATTCAGAGGTTCGTTCAAGGTAAGCAGCCGTCGCCACGATAGACGGAACTTGTTTGTCGGATCGGCGTACGCTCCAACGGACTGCATCCTAGATGCAGTCAAAGATGAACTTTACGATAAGCTACATGACCTCTTGCGTAAAGCGATCCGGGCTGATATCGTGACCTTAGCCTGAGATATGAATGCTAGAGTAGGCCGGCTGCCTTCGAATGAAGCGCACCTGGAAGGTCCTTTCGGACTAGATTCCTGTCGCTCGGAAAACGGGGAACGGCTGTTGGCTCTATGTTCCGACCACCGCCTATTCCTCGCCAGTACGAACTTCAGACGTTCCAACTGGCGGTATGCCACTTGGCGCACACCCTCCGCGACGGACGCAGATCGACCACATCATGATAAGCCAAAAATGGCGGGGCTGCATTCAAGACTGCCGATCGTACTTCCTCAATGTTATCGAACTGCACGATCCAATCTGGGCTTGAGACAACCTCAAACAGGCATTTTCCATAGGTTCTGTTATAAGCTCTCAATACCTTTGGTGGAAGCACATCAGTCGCTCCTGGTATAGTGACATGCTAGGCAAGTCCAGTACGAAATTAACTATGCCTTCCGGAATGTGTCAATCGGAGCAATCAGTTCCTCCCTA